ACTACAGATTTTTTTTTGTCTTTTCAAATTGCTGAGAATAATTTTTAAGTCAGGAAATGCAACTAATGTTTGTTTCTAGAATGGCTTCTGTTTTGAGATTTTGTCTTTGTAGAAGAAATGTGTTGCCCAGCTGTCTAGAATCCTAATCAGGATATGGTTTCAGCATGAACTACATTACAGGAATGATTTTAGCTGGTTTAAGCAGGAATGAAACAAGCTGAGACTATTTTATCTAATTTTTATCCTCAGGGGGTATCCTGGGTCAGTCCAATGGACCAATATGAATAAGGCAAAGTTAAATTCTGTGTTTTGTCCAAGAAAGTAGAAAAATTCTTAAAAACAAAGTATTGCATTAGTCCACAAGCACAATTGTTGAGATTCTTACAAACAAGAGTCATGCAGCAATTGTCCAAAACTACTAATGACAAACTTAAAATAGTTGTTCAATCTGAGCAGAATTGACAAAAAAAAATACATTGGTCAGCTTTTCTATTGCTGGGACAATATGCTTGACATCTACAACTTAAAAGAGGAGCGGTTTAATTAGCCTCATGGCTGCAGAAGTATCAGTCCATGGACAGCTGGTGCAAGGTAGGAGCATTGTTGTGGAAGGGCGTAGTATTATCAACTCATATCATGGTGGCCTGGAAGCACAGTATATGTGAACGGCGCCAGCAAGAGATATGCCTTCTAAAGGAGCACCCCAATGACCTAGCCCCACGGTCCCACCTCCGAAGGGCACATTCAGCTAGGAACATCAGTCGGTTAATCCACTGACAAATACAGGTCCCCATGATTCAATGGGGACCATCTCTATGGGAGTCCCTTAATCCAGTCAAATTGATAATATTAACTGGCACAGAGAGTTTAATGCTTGCCAGTTTTAATACTTCTCCTACCTCCATAACACACACACACACACACACACACACACACACACAGAGCCCACAGGTACACACACAGAATTAAACAAGTACAAATTAAAAACTAAATCTTCCTGTGTAGAGGTCCCAGGACTAGTACTATTTGATGAGAAAAATGCAAAGATGACTCAAGTTCTACCTTTTGTAGTTTGTGGAAGAGACAAACATTTCAACCATTATCCAATTTTTTTGATACCAAAACTTTCAAATACTCTCACTGGGTATATTTGAGTATGTTCTCTCTAAATGAAGGCATTAAATCTATAGGTCTTATTCTAGATGGAATTTTAAATGTCAGATGTGAATATACCATTATAAGTTCAATAGATAATAAAAACACAGAAAAAAAAATAAAAACAACTAGACTTCAGCCTTCCTGAAGGAAAATATTCATGGAATATTCTTATGGAGCCTTGAAAAAAAAAGAGAAGAAATCTACAAGGCAGGAAGCTTTGATAGGGTGATGAGAAGGAAATGATAAAAATATTTTGAAAGTACAGGGAAGAGAGTATGGAAAGACATTATGAAATACAACAATGTGCAGATGTAGAATCTGCAGTAAATGTACTGTTTAAGATTGTGTAAGAAAGGGGTTAGTATCATAGCTTAGTGGCAGAGCACTTGTTTCGCATGCACGAGTCCCTGGTTTTAAGCAACATCACTCCCTAACCTAATTCATGTTTGAATGAGGTTCATACTCAGAGGAAATTCAGAAGATCCAGAAGTCAGGTGGGAATTCAGAGTATAAGGACTTCTGCAACTTTTTTTATGATACTACTGACTATTTTTAAATGCAAAGAAAACTAATAGGACACATTACTAATGGAATACATCAATGCTATCTATTTTAATTCTCACAAATGTTTCCAAAGCATCACGCCACCCCCAACTCCTTTTACCCATAAGGAACAAAGTTACAAAACCATGTAATAAGATATCAAGAACACAATGAGCGTCAGGCTCTACACCATTTTTTTGATGATTATACAGTGTATGAAGTAGCTAAAACGTCACTTTGCAATGTTTTACCCTTCTTGTCTTTCTTTTCCTAATTTAAAAAATTTTTAACTGATATACATTTTAAGTTTACAGAAAAATTGGGCAGAAAGTGTATAGAGTTGTCATATAGTTTACCTCATTTTCAAAATTTTCCCCTTGTGTTAACATCTTACAGTCACGGGGTAACCAATTGATGAGTGCATATTGAAACACTGTTATTAATATCCGTTATTTACACTAGAGTTTACTCTTTGTGTTGTATATGTTGCTCTGTTTGTTTATTTATTTCTTTTTTTCCTTTGAGTTTATTGGTACTTTTTAGGTGTACAGCACAGTTACATTAATCATTGGTATTTTATACCTTTGCATGACAGGTATTGGTTCTCATTTTTTTCCCCATACCCCTGCCCTCCCTTTACCCGCTCCACCCTTCCCTATTTAGAAAAACTTTGTTTCCATTTTCTCATGTTTTGTCTTTCCCTTCTTTCCTTTCCCCTACCATTCCCACTTCCCCTACACCTTTAGCCCTTTTCTTCCTATTTCACATTTCAAGTATACCATCTGGATCTTATTTACAATTTTAGTTTTTCACACCAGAGAAACTATTTGATATTTATACATGTGAGTCTTATTTATATCACTTAAGAGTATAGCCTCAATATGCATCCATTTTCCTAGGAGTGACACTAGTTTCTCATTCTTTATGGCTGAGTAGTACACTATTTTATAGAAAAACCACATCTTCTTTATTCAATCTCCAACTTATGGGCAATTGGGCTTTTCCAAGTTTTAGCTATTACAAACTGTGCTGCTATAAACATAAGTGTGCATATATTAATGTGGTATGATTCTTTCAGAAAGATACCCACCAGAGGGATAGCTGGGTCAAATGGAAACTCTAGTCCCAGCTCTTTGAGGTATCTCCATATTGATTTCCATAGTGGTTGCACCAGTCTGCACTCCCACCAACAATGGAGAAGGGTTCCTTTCTCCCCACAACCCTGCCAACATTTGTTATTGTTTGATTTCTTGATAGCAGCTATTCTTTCTGGGGTGAGATGGAATCTTGGTGTTGTTTTCATCTGCATCTCTCGAATGACCAGTGATGTAGAAGATTTTTCCTATATTTATTTGCTGCTTTTACTTCTTTGTCTGAGAAATGTCTGTTCATTTCAGATGCCCATTTCTGAAAGGGTCTTTATATTTGGGGGGCTGATTGTTTTGAGTTCTTTATATATTCTAGATATTAGTCCTTTGAGGAGTAGCTGGTAATTTTTTTTTCCTATATTGTAGGTTGTCTCTTAGTTCTGTTGTTGGTTTCTTTTGCAGTACAGAAGCTTTTTAATAAGACGAAATCCCAGTTGTTGATTCTTTGTGCTAGTTCCTGTGCTACTGAGGATTTGTTCATAAAATCTTTTCCTATGCCAGTGTCTTCAAGAGTTCAGCCTAACTTATCTTCCAGCAAATTTAGTGTTTCTTTTTTCATATTTAGATCTTTAATATACTTGGATTTTAATTTAGTGCATGGCGAAAGATAAGGGTCCAGTTTTAACATTTGGCAGGTTGAAAGCCAGTTTTTCCAACACCGTTTATTTAAGAGGCTATCTTTCCTCCACTGAGGATGGTTGGCTCCTTTGTCAAAGAAGAGGTGGGTGAGTATATCTGGAGTTGTTTCTGCATCTTCCAGTCTATTCCACTGATCCTCTGGTCTTTTTTCTTTGCCAGTGCCATACCGTTTTTTTGTTTGTTTGTTTGTTTGTTTGTTTGTTTTAAAATGTAGTCTCACCATTTAGCTTAGGCCATTCTTGAACTTCTGGGCTCAAGTATTTCTTGTGCTTCAGCCTCCTGGGTAGTTAGGATTATGAGCATGCACCACTCAGCCCAGAAAATGAATTTGACAAATGTAAAGTGACATGTATCTCCATTTCCAGCGTCATATATATATATATATATATATTTTCAACTGTCTTGTGGAATCTCTTGTGCTAACGGTATACTTGCTCATCTCTTGCTCCCTTTCCCTTAATTTCTTTGCTACTGTTAAGCTTTTCTTTTAGCTTTTTCTTTTCCAAAATATCATACACCTTATCTAGTCTTTTCACACTGGATTCTTCAGCAATATGCATTTAAAGGTCCTCCAATTCTTTTCATGGCTCAATGGCCCAGTCCTTTTTATAACCAAGTAATATTTCATTATATGGATGCACCACAACTTGTTCATCCATTTCATCTATTGAAGAACATCTTTTGCCTTCAAGTTTTTTTCCCCTGTTGGGTTCTGGGGATCAAACTCAGGGTCTCATGCATGCTAGAAAACTGCTTTCTGACTGAGCTATAACTCAAGCTTTGCCTTTAAGTTCATAAATAAAACTGCTATAAATATTTGTATTCAGGTTTTTGTGTGGACATGTCTTCAAATCATTTGGGTAAACATCAAGGAATGCAATTGCTGAATTGTATAAAATATATTTCTTTTAATAAAAAATTCCAAATGGTTTCCAAAATGACTAAACCATTTTATATTTTCGCCAGAAATGAGTTTCTGTTGCTTTGTATCTTAACAAGTATTTGGTGGTGTGTTTTAAGTTTTAATATTTTTATAGGTTTGTAGACATACCTCATTGCTCTAATTTTTAACTCTTTGATAACATATACATTTCTTAATTTTTAGGTTTTTTTCCTCCTATGTATATATTTTCCTAATATGTGATTTTGATAACTATTAAATTCCTTTCTTTCTTTCATCACCATATGTCAAGTGGCTGTTATAAGCTAGTAACTTTTTAAAAACTGGATTGCTTTCTTTTATTCCTTTATTATTCTTTCTTCTGCTATTAGTTTGCCATATTCTATTCATCATTTGTTTCACATTACTTATTAGTTTGTATTTCTATTATATTGATCTCTGTATAAAATGGATACCTTTTAAGTTTTTGGTGATAATTTAAAAATTTTTTTTAACTTTCTCTTTCTTCAAAGTGTCTATCATTATTGATTCACAGTGCACAGTGCAGAGTCAGAAGTATTGTTAGAGTTGTAACTACTGAAAAAAACATCTAAAATAAAGAAATCACTTACCTTGATTGACGATAAATCTTAGCTTCTGTATTGTTGCCAGATTGCCACTAACTCTATATATCCCATCAACATCTAGACCTGAAAATAAGAGGGCATATTTATATTAGTACATACAAGAACTCAGATAGGAAAAGATAAATATAAGAAGGAAGATAGTAATAAATATCTATCAAATATCTCTTCTACACAGAGGAAACAAATTTCTACACCCTAAACTGAGCAATCTTCAAAAGTTCAGTGGCAATTCATCACCAACAAATTTTTGTAGATTTGAATCACAAAAGAAGTACAGGTACCGTGGAATTACAAGGCATTTTCTAGAGTTAATTCCTATGAAAATAAAGCAATCAAACTAGCAGATAAAAAGAACCTCTCAGTATATATATATGTTACCACTCCTTTATGGAAAGGTAAATAAAGGTGTTTGCATAGCATACCTTGTTCTGATTATTTGAAAATATAGAGTGAAAATCCTAATCCAGTTGTATAACTATTTAGATAACTTTCAGCATATGGTAGGTAATGTAGTGTTATGTTAATGAGGGAAAAATAAATAAAATCTTTTCCAAAATAATGATATTAGTTTCAGATTACTTTAGAACTGGGTATCAAAACGACTTGGCTTGGAAGTGGATTTGAAAATTATTGCTTTTTTGGACACATTTATTTATATCATCTAGTTATTTTTTGAGTGAGTTATCAGAAACAGTGAGATATAGGAAAATTAAAAAGAAAGACATATAATATAATATAATGACAGAAATTTATATTCTTTAATGTCTGTAGGCTTTCAGAGAGGCCTGGGTGAGATTCATAGCACTTTGTCTACAAAATTGGGAAATTTCTATGGGTTAATCATTGTAATTCTTAATAGTATTAAATAAATTGGGAGAAATTACTGCCATAACACAGGAAATAAATGCATTACAGACATGAAGTGAACTTCACTGTTTATCTGTTGTTGTATTTTGAAATGCTTTATATTAACAAAATCACTGCTTTTGTGGAAAACATTGGTAGACTATGGTCGAGTAACATAATTTATAGCACTGATCTTAATGACAAAACTTAGATCATTTAGAAGAATCATGGTTTTTACCCTTCCATGTAATTGAGATAGTGATGGAAGAATGGAAAATATAAATATATTATTGGATGTAAGTTTTTTTGTTCTAGAATAATCTAACAATAAAGATTACATTTCTGAGGCTCCATCCCTTCTAGAGAACTATGGATTTCAAGGAATTGAATGAACTTACTCACCTGTTAGTAAGTGGTCAAAGTTTCTAAGGTTCAGGCATTTAAAAAAATCAAACATAGTCATTCTTTTTGATGTACAAAATAGTTCCATTAAACTAAAATAAAGGCACTACAGTCTCTTGACAGTGTGCACTTGACGGCCTAAATGTGACTATCATCACACTTAATATTTGATTTTTAGTTTAGCACTGATTCAAGTCGCCTTTATATCTATGTATATATGCACAGAACATTAAAAGTTTAATGAGTGAATAATGTGTTAACTATTTTTTTCCATTATCATTAGATACTGATTGGTATTTATTTTTAACCTATAACATTTTAAAAAATATAAACATTTGTGCAATTAAGCAAGTGTGTTCCTTTCAAAGGTTTTCCACTTAATTTTTGGAACATGTAGTCACTAAGAAAAATATTTTTGACTTCTCCAAAATCATTCTTGGTGTCCCTGTATTGGCAATAGAAAAAAAAAAGCTTATGATTACAATTTTGGGGGTTTTGGGAATAGCACTGGTTGAAAAATAGTCAAAGGTCATTCAAAATTAAGAGTAGTACACAATGTCACCAATTGCCACCACAAATTAGAGCAGGTTAAAAAAATTTTGACCAAATGAAAAATTGTCCTGATAGTTTCTCTGTAGTTATCAATTGCTTTGAAAAAATTTAGAAAATTATCTTAGAAATTAGAAAATAATTAGTGGAATATGTGGGGCTGCATTCTCTCATGAGAAATCCCAGCTTTTTTAAAAAAGAAAAAGCATGTATTAGTTCTGCTTTAGATAATGATTACAGCGGAAAAGTAAATTAATATCTATTACAATAAAAATGAAAATTTGAAAAATTGACTATATTTCATCCTTAATACTCCTTTCCTTAACTAGCTAACCCTTTATGAGAGGTCAAAGATAAGTGAAATTATTTGAATTCGCACAAATTTTTACTGCAAATCCTAATTTTACTTCAACTTCATTTTAATATGGTTCCCCTTTATATTAGGCATACAATCAAGTGTATTTTAATTTTGAAGATAAGACTCCCATAAAATTCTTTTAAAAGTATTAAAAAGCTTATGTTATCTTGAGTTGCAAACTGTATTTCAGATGCTGAAATTCCTGGTATTGAAAACATTTCTTTTTCTATTATGGGTATCTGAAGTTGCAACATAAGAAATATTCCCATTGGCTTTTTGGAAATTTCAGCAGGATTTTTTTTTAACTTCAATAATCAAAAACATTAGAAAGAGTAGTATGAAATGGATATATTTCATAGGACCAATTGGAAAACACTACACTGTGCACAGAAAGCAGCCTCATCCTAAATTAATAACCCATCTTTGGGGGAGGATAAAAGAGGGAGCACTGATGATGGAGACCAGGGGCTTAATTCCATCCTGTGCCACCACTGCGGTTACAGAACTGAGTCACAGCAGAGAAACTCTTTTGTGGCTTAAGATAGAAACCAGAAAGCAAGAGAAGTAAAGTAAAACATATTAGATGCAATGTGATTCTAACTTGACACAACTTCCAAGCCCTTTAGACTCAGAGATATCAACACCATACATCTCCAGAATGATAATCATCTCTGACATGAGTGGCTCAGGCTTTGAATGGCTCACGCTCCCCTGATATCATACTTTTTAAATTATACAAATAGAGTGAAAATGACAAAGTACATATTAAAAAGGGTGGTATTGCATTTTGCAAAATAATCTGGAACTTATCAGTGAATTTTAGCAATTATAAATTATGTAGGTATGGTCTTGAGGTTGATTACCCTTTCCCTGGGTAACTCTTGAAATGGCAAACCTAAAATCCCGGGAATATTATCCAAATTACAATTATTCACGTGTCATCCTTTTTTTATTTCAGGAACTTTGAAAGTAATGCCAAACCAAATCATTGTAAATTGGTGGATGTGAACATCCTCTTCATGACCACATTATCCTTGCTGGATGGGAACCTACTTATTTTGGAAATATAATTAGACTTTGCATGATTTTTAAATGAGCAATGTCTTCAAGGTGCCCACGTTATGCTTTAGCGAAGTTTGGACACAAATTACTTTGAGAGTACCTCTTTCAAGAAAATAACATGATGGAATGCTAACTGAAATTTTGCCTGTTCAGCTAAAAATACTTTGGGAACTCAATGAAACTAAGTCATTGTACATTTTTTTTTCCATCAGAATGGCATTAACAGCACTAATGAAAAATTTTAAAAATAAATCCACATTCACTGAAATATTACTTATATATTCATCATCAACTGACATTCTCATTTTTCAAAATGGTATTTACCATTAGTAAAATTGTTGAGTATTCCTGTAGGAGACTTTTGAAACCCCTTCCTTCCTTTTTCTCCTAAAGAAGCTTAAACTAGGATAGTCATACAATTAAGAGTTATTAGACCAAATGGTGGTATAAACCCAGTGGAAAGAATGCAGCTGTCATGAGTAATTCCCACCATAAATCTTAGACATTTTCCAAAAAGAAATTTTAGAGACCAGTACTGTGTCCAGAATTGACTGGTTTATTTGCCAAAATATGGGCAGATTTTGACAATGCAGATGAACCTGTTAAATGTAGTTGCAAACTGTGGATTAAGTAGCATCCTTAATATCCTGAATTATGGACTCACTATGAGAGACATGGCATTTGATTCCAGTTGAGATACATACCCTAAAAGCCGTCTTGTTTTTCTGATCTATAACAAAATGCATCTGATCCTCTGGAGTCTGAAAATATGAGCTGGAAATTTTGCAAACAGCCCCTCTCCTGAGATTTATAGTGCTTCCTAATTCCTAGGAGGCCAGAGCTACTGCAAGAAGAGTCATTCTTGCAATACTTTGGACGTCTGGCTTTCCCCTGGCAAGAACCACTCCAAAGGAACACTTAGACTGCCTCCACTCAACTACGCATTACTTTCTCTGTCCTTCCAAATTCTTGCTTGGGTTCAGAGGTGGCATCAGGGGAGATCTTTGTGCCATTAAGATTGACTCCTTCTTCTTTAAATTGAAAGTCTTTCCAAGCTCTTATTGCTGACTGATTTGCTCGTACACTTTAAATTTATTGACTGAGTGTTCAAACTATAATTTCAAATTTTTATATTTAATGTCTGTTCTTCCTCAAGGATTGGAATTTGTGTTGCAGCTGTATGTGCCAGTGTTATTTAATTATTACTAATTTCTTGTAAGATGTTTACTCATGCAATTTCCTATGAATGATTATCTTAGAATTAACACAGTTTTGATGACAAGAGTGATTTTATTTTATAGATAGCCATTCTAAACAATCTTTTTTAACAATAAGGGCAATCTCTTTCTATGGTGAAAACCAAAATTTTACCACACAGAAAAATATGAGGTGAGAATGAAGCATTTGACCCAACCTGCTTTCCAATGATAATCATTTTTTGCAGTTCTATTTGGATTCTTTTCATTGTTACTCATTTTTTGCCAGTGGGTCATATTTCTGTTTATAACACATTACCTTTAGGTGATACTTACTGTTCTATCAGAAAAGATAATGAGTTTAGTGTCATCATAGTTTTTAATTACTTATCTATCTTCTTTCTCTTTGTTATTAGTTATATTTGTCTGTTTCCACTTGTAATACATCAAAATCACTTGTCCTATATAAATAAACTAATGCACTGACTCTCCCTTTTCTATCATCACTTTCTAGTTTTACTCCTTATGTTACTGTTGTTTTATAGCTTCAAAGATTAGAGCATTTTATTTTGTTCTTTATGAAAATTTTGTGACTTATATGTGGATAAAAATTAGTCCCTGTTTTTAAAAAGGATGTCAGGGAGGACAGG